GGGAGTAGAACACAGCGGGGGGGGGGGGTTTGGGGAACCTGCCTCATGGGGGGTGAGCACCGTTTTAAAGCCCGGCGGCTGTCAAAGCAATGCCGTTTTTGGGCCCGGCGGCCAATGCATCAGTTGATTCTGTGGGGGTGGCCGTGACTTCCGGTGAAGGTCCAGTGAAAAGTGGTACGTTGGGGTGGTTGAATTCCGATGCAAAAAACAGCGCCCCTGTGACGGGGATCACACTCAGCACCCGAGTGGGACGGCTGAGCGAAACACACTCTGACACTTGTATTCAGTGAACTCAGTTACCACGCTGGGAAGGAAGGTGACAGAACTGCATGGTGGAGAGTCCGAAAGACTTGTAGGTGTTTCAACAAGTTGTTGGTCAAGTCTGCTGAACGATCGGTCGGCGCGGCTCAGCTGCAAGACAAACGCGGCTTTTGGAGAAGTATCATGAAGAACCATGAGCCAAAAACGTGGAAAGTGGAGTCACAGCTTGTGGATAAATCGGCAGGTACACACCAAAGCGTCCTTTGGTGCTTCCCCTGTCACATCCTAGCTTCGTTGGGCCCCCCTGCTGAAGTTGGTTGAGAACCCTTTTTCCAGGGGTGGACACACACTTCGAACTTCGAACTTGGATTGTCAGTTAACGCAATTTCCCAAGGAAAGGAATGGCTCAACGGTAAGGTGGAAAGTCAGCGCAATTGTAGATGTTTCAACAAAAGTTTTCATACGTGACTGCGGAAAGCGCACAGCGGCAAAGCGTCTGCAGGTCTGCGGTGGGAAAACCTGTTTGGGGGTGGAAGCATGAAGAACCATGAATCAAATCGTGGAAAAGTAGGGTGACAGCTTGTGGAAAAAACTCGGCAGGTACACAATGCGGCGTCCCGCATTGCTTCACCACGAGCTGACAGCGTCTTCGTTGGGCAATGTCTGTCAGTCGTGCATTGCCCCCCTGCTTGATGGAAAAGGTGAAAGGAGCCCTTTTTCCAGGGGTGGACACACACAGATCGCCGGCTTCGGCGCTTTTTCCAAAACACCCCCTACCGTTGAACCAGTGGAAGAAAACCTTTCGCCCAGGGGTGGATACACACACACAGAGCCGTTTTTCGGCGCGGTCAAAGTAGTAGTAAGGCCAGGGGCCTCCAGTAGCGTCCTGACTCCCAGGGGAACATTTGTACAAAAAGCGCCAAATTGTTGGCGCAACGAAGAACTAGTAGACACCTAAAAAGCCTTAGAAAGACAGAAAAAGCAACGAAACAAGAGCAGACTAAGAGGGCAAGAAAGAAAAGTAGGTGTAAATACGAGGCCCACTTAGTTAAACGAAAGTAGAAGGCGAGCGGGACATTCGTCTTACACCGCCCGGGTAGCTAGCAATAGCTAGGAGAAACAGAAGGAAAGGCACCAACACACAAGTGTGTTGAGTGCGATTTCCTTCTGTTTCCCGAGTAGCGGGTGGGATAGCAACAGAGGCCTGGGGGGGGGGGTTGTGTGCATGATGAATTCATCCGGCCTGTGAATACTTAGCAGTGCAGGCATGTGATTACTTAGCCGTCAAGTATGCTCAGGCTAGAAAAATTGGAAAACAAGAAAAGAAAACTGAATGCTGAAATCTGAGATCAGAAGTTCGGAGTCTGAAGGATTCGTCAAGAACCGTTTTTTGGCCCGGCGGCCGGTGTGGCGGTTGATTCTGTGAGGGTGTCGGTGCCTTCCTGTGATGTTCCAGTGATCGGTGGTGCGTTGGGGTGGTTGCTTTCCCATGCAAGAACGGCGCCCCTGTGAAGGGGATCACACTCAGCACCCGAGTGGGACGGCTGAGCAGGACACACTTCGAACTTGGATTGTCAGTTAACGCAATTTCCCAAGGAAAGGAATGGCTCAACGGTAAGGTGGAAAGTCAGCGCAATTGTAGATGTTTCAACAAAAAA